GATGTCTCCCTTGGTGTGTTGTCTGTGTCCAAATCTCCTCTTCTTATATGACACCAGTCATATTGGACTAAGGCCCGCCCTAACAACCCCATTCTAACTCTATCTCTTTAGACGCTGTCTCCCCAAAAACAATCACATTCTGAGGCACTGGGGGTTATAGGGTTTTTACGTATAAATTTTGGGGGGGATATAATCAACCTGTAACATGTGCCATTTATCAACATTTTAGATTTAAAAAGAAAAAGGGACTCTCTTATGCCTATACTTGGAATGTGATGTGGAGAAATTCAGCCAGTTATCTCATTATTAAGTACAAATTAATCACTTAACAAGGAGGTGAGTGCTTACTGTGATCTCATTATAGGGTTTAGTGGACTGTATTGGATAAAAGTATAAGACAGAGGTCTTGTCTTCAAGGAGTAATGTTTGAACTGATAAAGCCACATAATGGAAGTAAGTTTTAATGTGTCTCCATTTTCTAGATATTGCTCAGTCCTGCTCTTTAGTTTGTGAGTTTAGAGATTCTTAGTTTTCCTGAGTTATTTAGAACTTGCTGAAGAAGACTTCTCAGCAGAGCCCATAATGTTGATAGCATTGGGTTTTGTTTTCTGGTTTTGTTTTCAGTCCCAAAGATGCTGTTAAAATGAAATAGTGCTCTTAAAAGTTACTTTTTAGCTCGATATTGTTATTTTAGTTATGAGTCAGTCTCTGATGTGCTAATATACTGACCTGAAATCTTTGTTGTGGACAAGCCTTTGCAGTGAGGCCTGTGGATGATTCATTGTGAGATTGGGAATTTATTCTTCCCTAACTGGCAAGGTCTCTATTTCATTGTGTTCTTTTTCAAAAAACTGTCATTACTGAACTAGAAATTAAGAACATAAATCCAAGTTTCCTTTTAAAACAATTTTACTGAGTTTAGATTTGGCAAGAGCCACATTTTATAATAATTCACTCAACTTTATATTTCATCTTCCAGTAAATCATTATGAAGTAGCATAATTCATTACAGATAAACTGGGATTATTCATCCTTAAAAGTTATATTCAAAGACATCCCCAAATTAAATTGTAATTTTCAAATCCCAGTTCAATATAAAATGCTTTGTCTGGTGCTGAGAGTTGGAGTTGGGTAAGTCACTTCTGGCTTTAAATGAGCTTTCAACACAGTGAGGAAGAGATTTGTTATAGATTGACTCTCTTAAGCAGAAAGTATAATAGTATGCGCCAAGTGCTGTAATGAAGAACAAAGTGAAACAGGAGCACACAAGGAAAAGACTGTCACTGTGACAAGCAATGAGAGGATGCCAAGGAAAATTTCATAAAAGAGGTAGCCTTTACACCAGGATTTGATAAAAGAGTAGGCGTTTGACTGGAAAACATGAGAAGAGAATATTCCAAGGGGAAGGGAAAGCATGAGGGAAGGACATGCTTGGGAAAAGAGCAGGATGCGTCCAGGGAGTAAGAGTGGGAGAATATGGTGCGAGAGGAAGGACTAGGGTGGATAAACTGGGAAGGTGAACTGAGCCAGATCCTGGACTGTCTTTTCATGAATGGTCTCATATGTCATCTGAAGAGTTTGGGTGTCATTCTGTAGGTAGCGGGGAGCAAGCCAAGGATGGTGGGCTGGAGCTGGACTGGATCAGTGTCCTGTTGAAGAAAGACAGCTCTGATGGCATTTTAAAGTATGAGGAGGAAGGTTGGGACAGGCAAATTAGGAGGGGAGTATAGTGCAGTAAACCAGGGGAGGGAAAGTAAAAGCCTGAAGGTCTGAAGGAGGACGGTGGCAATGGAAGTCAAAGAAAGGATCAGAAAGGTCTTGTCCTCTTTGTGTCATTGTAGTGCCACTGTTCATGGGATTATGTGAGAGACTATTGATCCAATCTAACCCTGACATTCTATGAATTAAGCTTCTATGACCACATAGGAACCCTATATTCCAGATGAGAGCATTTCCCCCAACTGTAAGTACATAAGAATGGTTCACACAAATCTATACATTTTTAAAAAGTGAGATCGTCTCGCTTGTCCCCAGTTGACATATCATTTGAAAGGGGGATAATTAGATTTATTGAACACAAAACTAATTTTGCTTTTTGACGAGACTTCAGTATGGAGACATAGTCCTGATTGTCAGGGTAATCTCCCTAAGTAGTTACTATCTATCCAAGGCCTATACTTGGGCTTTATAGGACAATAAGTTTCCGTTTCTGTTCGTTGAACCCAGAATAAGAATTTAGTAGAAAATTCAGAAGTATATCTATGAGGAAACTAGAGAAGGAAAGGAAACAAAGTAATCAGATGACACTGTAAAGAATATACTGAATTGCTGGATTAAAATAGAAGCTACTAAATTGCTGAATAAATTCTCATTATTTCCCAAGTTCCAAAGCTATTTAGTATAGGTATAACTGAAGAAATATAGTGTGAAGAAAGTAGACAGTCGGACATATGGAGACCGTTGATGATCGCATGGCAGCAGGTATGGCAGAAAAAAAGGAAATGGTATGCAGATGGAGAGTATGCATTTTGCAGCATTTATAGGAAATCTTCACATCTTGTTCCTAACTGGTAAGTATATCATTACTTAGATATATTTATTTTGTTTACCAAAAACTTATATTTCACTTACATTTGCACAATTAAACCTCATAATAACCCCACAAAGTAGGTAATTTTATTATTCCCATTTTACATATGAACAACACAGAAGGGTTAAGCAACAAGCCCACAGTCACACAGCTGGTAAGTGGCAGAGCTAAGGATTCAAACCCAAGCAGTCTCACTCCAGGGATCCTGTTCTTAAGCAATACACCATGCTGCCCTCCTAAGTTGAAGGTGGGGGAGAAAGCAATGTTTGCTATATTGAATTTAATATGGGATCTATTCCTTTAACTTTTGCTTTCCTTCAACCGATTTTCTACTTCTCCTTTTTTTCTTCTTTTTTAATACTGTGGTTTGATCTAGAAGAACCTCAACAGGACTTTGTCAGAGATTTGTGCATACTCATAAATGTAAACGCAGGCTAAAAACAGTCATAGCATTTACAGTCGTCCGTTTCCTCTGTGCCTAATAGTTAACCCATTCATTCAAGTTGTTAGGTATGAGGGAGGCAAAGATGAATTAGGCATGGGTCCTGCCTTCAAGAAACTCACAGTATAGAGAGGAAATAAGAAAAGTGTATCAAATGTTTTATTAGAGAGTGACAAGTGCTAAGATAGCAGTATACGTAAGGTGTCATATGAACACAGACATTTGGTATCTAAATCATAGTATATTAGGAAAAGCTTCCTAGCAGAGATGTTACTTATATTGGGTCTTGAAGGATGACCAGGACTTGGGAATATAGGGAAGAATAGTATGGTAGGCAGAGGGAATAGCAAAGTGAATTGACAAATAAAGGAAAATACAACACACTTGCAGAACCACAAGTTGTTCATTATGACTAGGCTATCAAGTGTATATGAGCAAGAGGCAGGTGATGTTAAAGATTTTGTTAGAGGCCAAACCATGCACCCTGCATGATCAAGGAGCTTGGCATTTGTTCTGAAAAGTGCTGGGAGAGGTTAAAGGTTTAAGCATAAAGGCATCTGATGGTATTTTTCTTGAAAAAATAATTCAGATATAAAGGATAGAATGGATAGAATGGAAGATAGAATGGATCAAATGTAGGGACATGTATGTATGCATGTATATTTAGGGAGTGAGTAAAGGGAACTTTCCAGGACAGTGGGGACCAAATCCTGGTTTTGAGAACAGCTACATCAGAATGGCTTTAAAAAATAGATTCCCTGCCGGGCGCGGTGGCTCACGCCTGTAATCCTAGCTCTCTGGGAGGCCAAGGCGGGCGGATTGTTTGAGCTCAGGAGCTCGAAACCAGCCTGAGCAAGAGCGAGACCCCGTCTCTACTAAAAATAGAAAGAAATCAATCAGACAACTAAAAATATATAGAAAAAATTAGCCGGGCATGGTGGCACATGCCTGTAGTCCCAGCTACTCGGGAGGCTGAGGCAGGAGGATCGCTTGAGCCCAGGAGTTTGAGGTTGCTGTGAGCTAGGCTAACGCCACGGCACTCTAGCCTGGGCAACACAGTGAGACTCTGTCTCAAAAAAAAAAAAAAAATAGATTCCTAGTGTTGGCCTCCATAATTTCTGACTTAGAGGGTCTGAGGTGGCAACTGAGAACCTGTTGGAAGGCTTTGAGTTCATTCCACAGTATAACTAGGATTGAGAACCATTATGACTCCTGAGCGTATGGGCTAGAAGCCTAAGAAATGCTAATGTGATCATAAAGGTTGAAGAGATTTTTTGTTGGGATAATGGAAGGGTGGGGACAAGTTTTAAACTTATACTTGGGCCACCTATGGGAAATATGAGTTGGGCTTGGTATATAGGTTTGGAGAGATTTTATTCAGAAATAAATGGTGATAGATGAAGCCATGGGTCTGAGAGTTCATCCTGGAAGAATGTATGCAATAACGAGAAAGATGGCCAAGCCCTTAGAAACACTAGTATTTAGGGAGTGAGCTGAAGAAGAAGAGCATGTTGAAGATACTGACAAGGAATCTTCACAAAAGGTAGAAAAATGTGACTATTGTCATAGAAACCAGGGGAGGAGAGAGTTTCCAGAGAAATGAGTGGTCAATATTAGCAAAAGTTATAAAAATTCAAATAAAGTAAGAGCAGAAAAGTGTCCACTAATTTAGACCAGGTTCTGATGTCTCATATAGCTCCCAAGCCTAATATGGACTGCTTGACCCCAGACGAGATTTTCAGCAACATTAATTAATTTGAAAGTGTGAACTATTATAGCAATGGCACCTAACCAGCTTAGCTGCTGTTCCTTCAGTATGATTAATTGCCTGCTAAGTGATATATTAACAATCTTAGATCATTGATCAATTTTTTAATTAAATTTTTTTTATTTTCATAGATTTAAGAGGTACATTTGCAGATTTGTTACATGGACACATTGCACAGTGGTGAAGTCTTGGATTTTTGTGTAACCCTCACCTGATTAGTGTACATAGTATCTATTAGGTAATTTCTCATCCTACACCCCTCTCCCACCCTCTCACCCTCCCCCACTTTGGAGTCTTCGATGTCTCTTATTCTTTCTATGTCTGTATGTCTTCATTATTTAGCTCCCACTTATAAATGACAACATGTGGTATTTGACTTTCTGTTTCTGAGTTATTTCACTTAAGATAATGGACTCCAGTTCCATTCATGTTGCTGCAAAAGAAAGACATGATTTCATTCTTTTTTATGGCTCACTAGTATTCCATGGTGTGTGTATGTGTGTGTGTGTGTGTGTGTGTGTGTGTGTGTGTGTGTACATACCACATTTTCTTTATTCAGTCATCAGTTGATGAACACTTAGGTGGATTGTATTATATATCTTTGTTATTGTGAATGGTGCTATGATAAATATATAAGTGCAGCTATCTTTTTGATAGAATGATTTATTTTCCTTTGGGTAGATACCCAATAGTGGGATTGCTGCATCAAATAGTAGTTCTATTTTTTAGTCCTTTGACAAGCCTCCATACTATTTTCCATAGAGATTATACTACTTTACACTCCCACCAACAATGTTTAAACGTTCCCTTTTCTCTGCATCCTTCCAACATCTATTGTTTTTTGACTTTTTAGTAATGGCCATTCTGACTGGTATAAAATGGTATCACATTGTGGTTTTAGTTTGTATTTCTCTCATGATTAGTGATATTGAACATTTTATCGTATGTTTGTTGGCCATTTGTATGTCTTCTTTTGAAAGCTGTCTGTTCATGTCCTTTGCTTACTTTCTAATGGGGTTATTTATTTTTTTCCCGTTGAGTTGTTTGTGTTCCTTGTAGATTCTGGATATGAGTCCTTTGTCAGATGCATAGCTTGCAAGTATTTTCTCCTATTCTATAGGTTGTCTATTTACTTTTTTAATTATTTATTTTGCTGTGCAGAAGCTTTTTAGTTTAATTAAGTCCCATTTGTCTATTTTGTTTTTGCTGCATTTGCTTTTGAGGTCTTAGTCATAAATTCTTTGCCTAAGCCAATGCCTAGAAGAGTTTCTCCTGGATTTTCTTCTAGAGTTTTTATAGTTTCAGGTCTTATATTTGAGTCTTTAATCCATCTTGAGTTAATTTTTGTATATGGTGAGAGATAGGGGTCCAGTTTCATTCTTCTGCATCTGGCTATCCAATTTTCCCAGCACCATTTATTGAATAGGAAATCCTTAACTCCAGTGTATGTTTTTGTAACTTTTGTCAAAGATAAGTTAGTTGTAGGTATGTGGCTTTATTTCTGGGTTCTCTATTCTGTTCCATTTATCTATGTGTGTATTTTTATACCAGCACCATGCTGTTTTGGTTACTGTAACCTTAGAGTATAATTTGAAGTCAGGAAATGTGATACTTTCAGCTTTGTTCTTTTTGCTTAGGATTGCTTTGGCTATTCAGGCTCTTTTTTGGTTCCATATGAATCTTAGGATTTTTTCCCTAATTCTATGAAAAAGGGTGTTGATATTTTCATAGAAATTACATTGAATCTCTGGATTGCTTTTGGCAATATGGCCATTTGAACAATATTGATTTTTCTGATCCATAAGCATAGGATGTTTTTCCATTTGTTTGTGTCATTTGTGATTTCTTTCATCAGTGTTTTGTAGTTCTCCTTGTAGAGATCTTTAACCTTCCTGGTTAAATATATTCCTAGGTTTTTTTCTTTGCTTTTTTTTTTTTTTTTTTTTGTAGCTATTGTAAATGAGATTGTGGGATTGAGTTCTTTTTTTTTTTTAGACAGAGTCTCGCTTTTGTCGCCCGGGCTAGAGTGAGTGCCGTGGTGTCAGCCTAGCTCACAGCAACCTCAAACTCCTGTGCTCAAGTGATTCTCCTGCCTCAGCCTCCCGAGTAGCTGGGATTACAGGCATGCGCCACCATGCCCAGCTAATTTTTTCTATATATTTTTAGTTGTCCGATTAATTTCTTTCTATTTTTAATAGAGACGGGGTCTCGCTCTTGCTCAGGCTGGTCTCGAACTCCTGAGCTCAAACAATCCGCCCGCCTCGGCCTCCCAGAGAGCTAGGATTACAGGCGTGAGCCACCGCGCCCGGCCAGGATTGAGTTCTTGATTTGGTTCTCAGCTTGGTTGTTATTGGTGTATAAAAATGCTACTGATTTATGTATATTGATTTTGTATCCTGAGACTTCACTGAATTCATTTATCAAATCTAGGAGTCTTTTGGAGGAGTCCTTAGGGTTTTCTAGGTCTTAGATCATATCATCATATCATCATAATTTGACTTTTCTAGGTCTGAGATCATATCATCATAATTTGACTTCCCCTTTTCCGATCTGGATGCCCTTTATTTCTTTCTCTTGCCTGATTGCTCTGGCTAGGATTTCCAGTACTATGTTGAATAGAAGTGGTGAAAGTGGACATCCTCATCTTGTTCCAGTTCTTAGGAGGAATACTTTCAACTTTTCCCCATTCAGTGTGATGCTGTCTGTGAGTTTGTCATATATGGCTTTTGTTATTTTGAGGTATGTTTGTTAAGGGTTTTTATCATGAAGGGATGCTGAATTTTATCAAATGCTTTTTCTGCATCTGTTGAGATGATTGTATTGCTTTTGCTTTTAATTCTGTTGATTTGATGAATCACATTTATTGATTCACATATGTTGAACCAATCTTGCTTCCTTGGAATAAAACCCATTTGATTGTGGTTTATTATCTTTTTGATGTGCTGCTGTATTCTGTTTGTTAGTATTTTGTTGAGGATATTTGCATCTGTGTTTACCAGGGATATTGGTCTGTAGTTATCTTTTAATGTTGTGTCTTTTCCTGCCTTTGGTATCAGGGTGATACTGGCTTCATAGAATGAGTTAGGGAGACAATTTTTTGGAACAGTTTCATTAGGATTGCTACCAGTTCTTCTTTGTATGTCTGGTAAAATTTGGCTGTTAATCTGTCTGGTCCTGGAGGTTTCTTTTTGTTGGGAAATTTTTTTATTACTGATTCAATCTCACTAGTTATTGGTCTGCTCAGGATTTCTGTTTCTGCCTGAATCAATATTGGCAGGTTATATGTTTTTCGTAATTTATCCGTTTGCTTTAGGTTTTCTAGTTTGTGTGCATGGAGATTTTCTTAGTAGTCTTGAACAATCTGTGTATCTTTGTGGTAGCAGTTGTAATGTCTCCTTTTTGGATCTCAATTTCATTTAGTTCTGCTCTGATCTTTATTTCTTTCCTTCTGCTAGCTTTTGCTTTGGCTCATTCTTGTTTTTCTGGTTCCTTGAGATGCCACATTAGGTTGTTAATTTGTTTTTTTGTTTGTTGGGTTTTTTTTTTTTTTTTGAGATGGAGTCTCACTCTGTCACCTGGGCTAGAGTTCTGTGGTGTCAGCCTAGCTCACAGTATCCTCAAAGTCCTTGGCTCAAGCAATTCTCCTGCCTCAGCCTCCCGAGTAGCTGGGACGACAGGCGCACGCTACCACACCTGGCTAATTTTTCTATTTTTAGTAGAGACAGGGTCTCGCTCTTGCTCAGGCTGCTCTCCAACTTCTGAACTCAAGCGATCCTCCCACCTCGGCCTCCCCTAGTGCTAGGATTACAGGTGTGAGCCATCATGCCTAGCCCTAGGTTGTTAATTTGTGATCTTTGTATCTTTTTGATGTAACCATTTAATGCTATAAACTTCCCTTTTGGCACTGCTTTTACTGTATCTCAGAGGTTTTGGTATGTTTTGTCTCTATTTTCATTCATTTAAAAAACTTTTTAAATTTCCATCTTCATTTTGTCATTGACTTAAAGATCATTCAGGAGCAGGTTGTTTAATTTCCATGTATTTGTATAAGTTTGAGAGTTCCTCTTGTAATTGATTTCTAGTTTTATTCCACTGTGTTCTGAGATGGTACTTGATTTCAATTTTTAAAATTTATTGAGACTTGTTTTGTGGATTAACATATGGTCTATTTAGGAAAATATCCCATGTACTGATGAGAAGAATGTATATTTTGCAGTTGTTGGGTTGAATGTTCTGTAAATGTCTGTTAGGTTCATTGGTCTAGAGTCCAATTTAAGTCCAGTGTTTCTTTGTTAATTTTCTATCTTGATGATCTGTCTAGTGCTGTCAGTGGGGTGTTGAAGTCCCCCACTATTATTGTATTGTCTATCTCTTTTCTTAGATTTAGTAGTATTTGTTTATGAATCTGAGTGCTCCAGTGTTGGGTGAATATATATTTAGGAATATTATATCTTCTTGTTGAATTGATCTTTTTATCATTATATAATGACCTTCTTTGTCTTTTTTACTATTGCTGATTTAAAGCCTGTTTTATCTGATATAAGTATAGCTACTCCTGCTTTCTTTTGGTTTCCGTTTATATGGAATATCTTTTTCTACCCCTTTACCTTGATTCTTTAGGAATCTTTGACCATTTTTAATTGAAGCAATTAATTATATAAATGCGAGCTCTTTGCATTAACTTTCATTAAAATTATATCACAACAAAAAGAAAATACATATAAGTGGAGCCACATGGTCTTGCTTTAAGTATGAGTCACATCCGGTTCTCATATGATAATCTTGAACTTTCACCAACTCACTTTTATCATAAATTTAAAAATTCATGGGGTCCACACACAACTGCAAGTTCTGATAATATGACCATCTATTGAAAAAACTTTGGTACATTTAGAATTCTATGATTTATTCTATAATCTATATAATTCTATTGTTTACCTAAAACAATAATATAAAAATGGTCTTTTTAAAAACTTATGCCAAAGTCATTAGTTATATGTTTAAATTTGAATTGATTTCTTCTTCCTCCTTTTAAAATAGGAATTTACTGACTGACAATGGCAGAAAACATCTTAGAGAAGTTAGATGTCCTCAATAAGCAAGCAAAGATAATCTTGGCCAGAAGAGCAAAGGTTGGTAAAGTATAAACTAAAATTCAATTTAATCATTCAAAAGTTAACATTTCAAATATGAATACTTTTTTTAGTTAAGGATACATTCATCTGAAGATATAAACTAATTTGTAAAAAGCAAATAATTATATTAATTGAAAAAAATCATCTAAGTTGATACTATAGAGAATTCATTTAATATATAACTTCTAGATAGCTGCTGTATTAGGTTAAGATATATATCAAACCTGCTTAAGATTAAAAAAATCCTATTCAGCCAAATATTAAATGTGGCTGCTCTTACAGTTCTTACTAATATGTTAAACATCAAAAGTTATTTTGTTGGACTACTAAAAAGAAGAGAACAGGGGCATATTAATGAATTAGGAATAAGTAAAACTTATAGAAATTAAACTAAAAAAGACAAGACTTATAAAATTCAATCAAAATATTAATGAAGAATATAGTTCTCAAAAGCTATATTTTTGGCATAGATGAACAATTTAAATTCTTTTTTTCTTTTTCTTTTTTTTCAGAGACAGAGTCTCACTCTGTCACACAGGCTAGAATTCAGTGGCATGATCATAGTTCACTGCAGCCTCAACTCCTGGGCTCAAGCAATCCTCCTGCCTCAGCCTCCCCAAGTTGCTGGGACTACAGGTGTATGCTGCCACGCCCAGCTTATTTTTCTTACTTTTTATAGAGACAGGTCTCACTTTGTTGCCCAGGCTGGTCTTGAACTCCTGGCCTCAAGTGATCCTTCCTCCTCAGCCTCCCAAGGTGCTGGGTTTACAGGCATGAGCCACCTCAAACAAATTTTAACTGTTGGGGTTTATCTATCCACATCTTCTTTGTGCTCTTACAAAGGTATACATATATGTATATAGTATCTTTGCATATAAATTTACATACATATAAATATTCATAATACAAGTATATATGTATTACTACATATATACATACATATATGACAGTGGATTTTATCTATTTCCCTTTTTTAATGACAAAAATGAGATAATATATAAATCACTTTAGTAATTGATTGTTATTTCTTTAAACTTAAAAAAAAAATAGTTGTAGACTCACAATTCCATGTGCCTTTCACCCAGTTTTCCCCAATTGTGATGCCTTGTATAACTGTGGCACAATATCAAAACCAGGAAATTGACACTGGTATATTACTGTTAACTAGACTGTAGACTATTCAGTGTTCATTATTTTTTAACCTGCATTTATTTGTGTGTGAAGTTTTATGCAATTTTATCCCATTATAGATTTGTGTAACTACCACCACAATCAAGATATAGAACTTTTCCATCTGCTTGCAAAATCTCTCTCTTGCTACCACTTGTGTGTTTTTTTTTTTTTTTCTTTTTTGAGACGGAGTCTTCCTCTGTTGTCCTGAGTAGAGTGCAGTGGCATTTTCATAGCTCACAATGCCTGGCTGAATTTTTCTACATTTTTTTAAGTGGAGATGGGGTCTCGCTCTTGCTCAAGCTGGTAGCAAACTCCTGACTTCAAGTGATCCTCCCACTTCAGCCTCCCAGAGTGCTAAGATTACAGGCATGAGCCACCGTGATGGCCATCTCTTGCTACCTCTTTGTATTTGTAGCCATGCTACCACCCCATTCCCCATCTCTATCCATAGCAATAAATAATCTGTTTTCACTCTCTATAATTTTGTAATTTTGAGAATGTTATGTAAGTGGAATCATTCATTATGTAAGATTTTGAGATCAATTTTTTTCACTAAGCATAATAGACCTTGAGGTCTATCCAGGTTTTTGTATAAATCAATAGCTCTATTGTTATAAATAATATAAAAAATTTATTACGGAATAATATTCTGTCATACGGATATACAGCGTTTCAACCACTCATCCATCGAAAGGCTTTTGGGTTGTTTTCAGGATTTTGCTATTAAAAATAAAGCTGCTTAAAAAAATGAATAAAATGAATAAATGAATAAAATAAAGCTGCTATGAACATTTGCAGACAGATTTTTATGTGAACATAAGTTTCTGTTTCTCTGGGGTGCATGCCCAAGATCGTGATTGCTGGTGCACTCTTTCTCTTAAACTCAGCAAGATCAAGGCGTCAAGGTTTGGTTTGAGTTCCCCCAGATTCACTGGGTTTCCCCTGCCTGCTCCTCAGCCCGGAGACTGCCTCCAGGAAGTAAACTGGGCTCTTGGATAGCTTACCTCATTTGTTTGCTTTCTTTCAGGCATCCAGTCCTGCTCTGTTTTCTAATACCTGAAGACAGTTGTTTTCATATATTTTGTGTGAGTTTCTAGTTGTTTAGAGCAGGAGGTTAATTCCCATAGCACTTAATCCCTCATTGGCAGAAGAAGAAGTTTCCCATATCCTCAGACTTTGCTGTCAAATTTTTCATCTTTTTATTCCTTTGCACTGTGCTTTGAGAGAATTTTTTAGAGAAAACTTTCAGCTCCTTAACTAACCCTTTAGCTACATCCCTTTTCTTCTTCAGTCCATCTGTATAAACATTTTAACAAACTCCGCTTTTGATTGCTTCCTTAACCCTATTTCTGGTTCATGCAACTAGATGAAGATTGGTGTGATTCACCACGTGTGTGGCCGCAGGAAGAGAGCAGGTTGGAGAGACATTCCTGCTGTGGTTCCAATTCCTCTATGTATCAATATTTGCTAAATATATAGATCTTTCCTTAAATTCTGAATTTTGAAGTTAGGAGGGAGCCTTAATAATCCTCTAGTCCTACACCCTCTTTTCAGAAGTGGAAAAAGAATGGGTCAGGTCATATAGCAAAGGCATAAAAAAAGTTGGTGCATGAGGCCCCCAGTTTTCAGTCGGTAATATTTCCCATTATTGCCTGCCACCTAAATTCTATGTGTGTGTGTGTATACGTGCACATGTGTGTGCATAAAGTGAGATTAATTTTTATTCTTTCCACACAGGATTTTCCCTATATGAAAAGTACTCATTTTTTTTTTTTTTTTTCACTTTGGCTTTGCTGCAGAAAAACAGACTTCAGAGTGAAGGAAGAAAAAAGTCTTCGGCTATACCCCTGACATTTGATTTTCAGTCGGAATGTGAAGAGGCTATTGCTACATCCACATCTAAGTCAGTGTCCAAGATCACACAAGACAAATCATGTGGCATTGAATCAAAAAAGTAACTATCATAACCTGAAACTTTCAGTTTGGAGTTTTAAAACATTATATTTGTCTTAGATTATGCAATGTATATTAAATGAAATCTTTGTTATATGGGATATTTTATAATGGTTATGAGTTAGAATATACTAGATTAGCCTTCTGAATATTCCTAGTTTATAAAATATTTATGATGTATAATATTTCACTAACGTAGATGGTAATTACAATTCTGAATTTTTAAAGATAACTGATCAACACATAAGTGCACATATAAGAATAACATCTATTGGATGTTGGGCAGGGGGAGGGGGGAGGGGGAGAAGGGAGGAGGGGACGGGTATTTGCATACACAGAGTGCAGTGCGCACCACCCGAAGGAGGGACATATTTGAAACTCGGACTTTGGGGGGGAGAGGGGGGCAAGGGCAACATACCTTACCTAAACATCTGTACCCCCATAATATGCTGAAATAAAAAAAAAAAAAGAAAGGCTTTTCTTGAGCTCAATGATGTTGCCCCAAATTAATGTCAGGATTTACTTCAAACTTTAACTGATATACTTCAAGAAAATTGTGCCTAGAAAACTAATTAATGCAGTGTCTCCGTGTACTTAGAAGGGATAGCTTAAATATGTCATACATGGTCTTTCACTGGTTTATGTGTGTGTGTAATGCTATATGATTTTTCCAGGCAACATAAATGTAGAGGAGAATGCAGGAAAAAGTACTAAGATGCAGAGTCAATAGAACTTTAAATCAATTGGTTGTTGGTAGTAGTGTGGATACTACCTTTAACTCATTTATTCTGTGTGACAGCCCAATGTGTTAAGTGCATTTTGCAGATGAAAAATGCAAGTCTGGTTGAAGTTAAATAACTTGTCCAAGGTCACAAAGCTAATAAGTGGCAGAGGCTGGATTTAAACATTGGCAGTCTGCCCCCTCCCACAGTGAGAAAGAGGAAAAAGCCGAGTAGACCCTAATAGATCAATGACTTAACAATTCTGATATTTTTCTTCCCCCCCTCCCCATTACAGTTTTCTGCTATTTGGAGACATAAGAGAATTTCTTGCCCTAAATATTGGTGGATCTTTGTAGAATATAGGGTATATATTGCTCTTTTTTATTCAGTTGTGGGATAAAAAGTTACCTGGTCACCAATTCTATGGCAACAGAATAATTGCCACTCAACAACTTATTATATTAACAAAATGAAATCCAGCATAATACTAAATAAATATTATTCCACTATAACTAAGGGGAGTACATTTCAGAAATAAGAAAAAGTACCCTCATTGACCTTTTACTATGGCCTTGACATTTTGTTAATTAGTTTCAAAACTTTATTTTACATAATTTTTATAAAAATCTCATGAAGTAGATATTATCTTTATTTGGCATATGAAGGACTGAGATTCAGAGTATTCATTCTGCAGAAGTTCACATAGAGTCAAGATGTAAAGTAAGGTCTAACTCCAAAACCTATGTTCTTTGGTTCACCATAAGGAAATTCTTATCCGAATATCTCTATATGCTCTTCAAATGTATTTGAAAAATAGCTTAGTAAGATAAGGATAAAATATTACCTCCTTAGCAAGACTATATAGCCAGCATCACCCTTAGAGTGGAACCCGTGACTCATTCTCACTTAAGTTAGAAACAGAACAATGCCCATTCTCACTAGTATACTACACTGTTCTAGAAGTGCTTCCTAATGATATTTAATAAGAACATAAGATAAAAATTTTAATTTTTTCAAAGGAACAGATAAATTATTTTATAAAGATTAAATGATTATTTACTGAATAATCCAAAGAGAATAAACTGAAAACCCATTAGAAATTATAAGATTATAAGAAAGCTTATGCCTGTAATCCCAGCACTTTGGGAGGCGAAGGCAAGAGGATGACTTGAGGCCAGGAGTTCGAGACCAGCCTGAGCAAGGGTGAGACCCTGTCTCTACAAAAAATAGAAAAAGTAGCCGGGCATGGTGGCACATGCCTGTATTCCCAGCTACTCAGGAGGCTGAAACAGGAGGAGCCCTTGAGCCCAGGAGTTTGAGGTTGCAGTGAGCTATGTTGATGCCACTGCACTCCAGTCTGGTCAACAGAGCAAGACTTTGTCTCAAAAAAAAAAAAAAAAAATTATAAGAAAGTTTAATAAAAGTTTATTAAAAAAATTTATGCATTCAACAGATATTTATTAAACATGTACTGTGTGCCAGTCACTGTTCTAGGTGCTGAGAATACAACAGTGAACAAAGCAGACAAATACTCTGCCCTCAGAATTTACATTCTAGGTGGGGAGACAGATGTTATAGTAAACGAAATAAGCAAATGAATATATAATATAAATCCATTAGTGATAAATGCTATAAAGAAAAATATAGTAAATTAAGGGAATTAAGATCCACAGGGATTACTATTTTGGATGGGGGTGGTGAAGGGTGGAAATTCAAGCAGAGGCTTATGAAATACAGGTAAGCCACGTCAACACCTGGGGGAAGACTATTACAGGCAGAGGGAAGAGCAAGTGCCAAGGTCCTTAAATGGAGCTTAAATTTGTTTCCCCAAACCAAACAGCTAGACAGTTTTTTCTGTTCCCTCGTGAAGGTCAGGGGTGAAGGAAGTGTGTAGGGAGAGACCTGGAGGGGCTTTCGGGGGAAGGTCTTCTACTGAGAAACATCAGAACTGGGGGGAAAGTTTCTGTCTGGCAGTGAGAATTTTGAATTTTATTTGCTTCTGATAGGAAACAGTTGAAGGGAAATGATAATCATGTTTATATTTTAGAAGTGTCACTATGGCTATAGCGAGAATAGAATGTCTAGGACAAGAGTAATAGTAGGGAGAGTAAACAGAAGATGTCTAGAGACACAGAGAAGTATTTCAGGCCAGGTGCAGGTGGCTCACGCCTGTCATCCCAGCATTTTGGGAGGATGAGGCATGAGGATCACTTGAGGCCAGGAGTTCAAGACCAGCCTGGGCAACATAACGAGACTCCTGTCTCTACAGAAAATTTTTAAAAATTAGCCGGGCATGGTGGCACACATCTGTAGTCCCAGCTACTCCAGAGGCTAAGGCAGGTGGATCGCTTGAGCCTAGGGGTTCGAGGCTGCAGTGAGCTATTATCACACCACTGCACTCCAGCCTGAGCAACAGAGGAAAGAGGGAGATTCTGTCTCTTAAAAAAGCAAAGCAGTAGTAGTAGTAGGGCTCTTGGACTAGGCTGGAAGTAAACAGGAAAGAAGTGGTTGGATTTGGGATATATTTCAAAGAAAGACCCAGTGATATCTGCTGATAGATTGGGAGTGGGAAATACGAGAAAGAGACATCAAAGATGTCTGCAAATTTTTTAGTCTAAACCTCTGATTGAATGGAGATGGGCAAGCCTGGGTGAGGAGCAGATCAGGAAGTGGGTGGAATCAATAATTTAGTTTTGAATATGTTAAGTTTGAAGTACCTATAATACAGCTAAGTGCAGGAGTCATGTAGGCAGTTGGATATATAAAGCCGGGGTTCAGGAAAGAGTTTGGGGTCTGGACTATAAATCTGGAGACATCAGCCTACGGATATTGAAAGGTGCAGAGCTGGATGACATCAACTAAGGGTGAGTATCTCAGGCCTGAGGACTGAGTCATGGGTTGCTTTAGCATTTAGAGTTCAGAAATCTCACTATTTAAATAACACTAATAACTTTCTTACATACCATTAATAGCCAGTTAAAGAATTTACAGGAGGAAAATTCCTGTTTACCATAAATAAATGCTGTGATCATTTCTGTTATCTGAACTGTCCCTAACTCCATGCCCAACCACTCTGATTCAGGTCTGGTAATGTCCCCAATATCTCATTGAACTAATTTCCAGCATACTTTTCTGAAAGATTAATTAGCATGTGAATTATAATTTCCCGGATCACCCTCAATCCTATCACAACAGCTTCCTGTCCCCCTCTACTTCAAATGATTCTCACTAATATTTTCAGCTCCTACTCAACCAGTCCCAATCTTTTACACCTTGTGCTATAATAGTATTAATACAACTTCTAAATCTATATAACTGGGACTTCACCACATTTATTTTTTAGATTTGTTTTATAAATTTTCTGATTATTTTAATTAAGATTCGTTTTTATTTCTTCTAGGTATAATTCTTTCAAATGTGAGCCTGAACCTATAAAGAGTGACATCAAAAAGTCAAATTTAAGACCACACTTTGTTCAAAGAAATATAAGAAAGCAAGAAAGTAAGCCAATAGGTAATGCTTTGTGTAATAATATATTTACTTCTCCTTTGATTTATTAATGTGTGTTAAAAGTTCTTGATAATTTAATGTCTGTTGGAAGCATTTGCATGAACTATAAAGAAGAAATTTACTAAGAAGACATGTTAAATATCATAACGAACAATTTATATAATTCACAAAATAAAGATATATTTTTATGTTTATAGGGTTATTTTTTCCTAGAAAGAAAATCTTTGAGTTTCCTTTAAGCTCAACTCTATGAATTTCCTTGTTATTGTTTTTTTTTAAAATCATGTATGAACAGCTTGCTTAATAGAAACTTAATTTCGGGATTAGAAATTAATGTATCTATGAGCTAGGAACCAGCATTACAGATTCTCAGTGATTTGGAGTGTTTTGTGTCACCTTACTTTTCTTTCTCTGGCGTTATCAAACAGTCATCCAGTTGCATTATTCTCACCAGCCTCCCTGACTGAGGCTCCTAGAGTCCGCATTGCCCCGTATCGCCTCATTTCTCTGTTATGCTCCGTAATCTAATTTCTCAAAAGATTTGTTTACACGTGCTGTTGTGTCTATGGTTTACTTTTATAATGTCATAGTTCCTTATTATCTTTGAATGTGTGCTGGACACTATTTGGAAAATTATTTACAGGAACAATTTGAGAACTAGGATGATGGTACCTTACTCCAGAGAGCATTTTTACTGTTTAAGCCGGGTATCTAGAGGCAGTACTTGTCCAAACATATCTTAACCCAGGTTCAAGGCTTTGATTTCCCTGGAACACTCAGGTGGCAAAAACATTGGCCTCAAGGCTACATGCAAGCTTACCTATTCTGGTTTACTCCTACCCTTTGCATCCCAGGTGAAATGCATGTGTGTTGGTGGAGGAGAGGGGAGAGAAGGGGAAGACATATCAAATATCCTATCTTTGGACCTTTGGTCAGTTTTTGATTTTTGTATTTTTGTCTACCTCAACCCACGAAGCTTCCAAAACCCGACCTTACTTTCGCATCACAAATACCCTCAGGGCAAATGTGGCTTTGCATGCTGGGCTTACATGTTTGAGTTCTTACCTTCTCCTAGATTTAGGACCAGAAGTCCCTTGTCATCCTTTATCTCTATGATACTCTTTGGATTTTTAAAAATACCTTGCTCAGCCTTTTCAGATGCGTTCAACAGGGCAGCTGGTACTATTAATACTTTCATGGCTCTCCATAATGGTAGCAGAAATCTCTAGTCAATTTTTTTCCTAAAGTCATAGTGATCTTTTTAAAGTAGAACGATTATCTCCTGATTAAGTGTCTTCAGTGGCTTCTCACTGCACTTAGTACGAAACTTGTACTCCTTACAAAGATCCTGTGTGTGTGACCTTTTGCCTACGTATTCAACTTCATCCCCTGGCCCTTGACCTTCATTTAAACTACATTTTCACTAGCCTTTTTTCAGTACAACTGTCAGATTGCCTCAGAGAAATATGCTTTCCCCTGTGTCTAAACACACTGACACTCGTATTCACACAGCTTACTCCTCATTTGCAAGTTTCAGTTCAATGTCATCTGCTCAAAGAGGCCTCCTCTGACTACCCTGTCAAAATTATACCTTCTCTGTGGTTCTTCCTCACGAAAATTATTTGTCACAGCATATATTTCAATCTATAATTATTCACTCCTTTGCTTTTTCACTTGTTTATTTTCTATTACTATTACTAAAATGTATGCATCATGTCACGAGACTCACAATTCCAGAGCCTCACATATGGAAGGTGACCAACAAATATCTGTGGATGGAAGGATTACCAGACTCCATATTAAGTTTGTTACATGTATTATCTCATTTAATCCTCACAGCATTTCTATAAGTACTATTGTTACCAATTAACAAATAAGGAAAATAAGATTCAGGGAGGTTAACTAGCTTTCCAAAACTACATAACTTACAAAATAGGTGGGATTTGGACACAGGCTATCTAAATCCAAAGTCTGCATGTTTGATGCCTACACTATACTTACTTTAAGAAATTCCATTATATCAGGGGTCCCCAACCTGTGGTGAGTTGTATAACTATTGCATTATATATTACAATGTAATAATAATAGAAATAAAGCGCACGGTAAATGTAATGTGCTTGAATCATCCCGAAACCATCCTCCCCGCCCCCAGTGTGTAGAAAATTGTCTTCCATGAAAATGGTCCCTGGTGCCAAAAAGGTTGGGGACTGCTGCATTCGATGAAAATTCAGATTAATAAAACTCATAATTGGGGATGGGAGAATGCAGGTTGAGGGGAATATTTTTCTTTTCACAAGAATTAACCAAAAGATTCCTTTGAATAACACATATGATTCTTTTTTTTTTTTTTTGAGACAGAATCTCACTCTGTCACCCAGTATAGAGTGCCCTGGCATCAGCCTAGCTCACAGCAACCTCCAACTCCTGGGCTTAGGCAATCCTCTTGCCTCAGTCTCCCGAGTAGCTGGAACTACAGGCACACCACAACACTCGACTAATTTTTGTATTTTCAGTAGAGACGGGTCTCACTCTTGCTCAGGCTGATCTTGAACTCCTAAACTCAAGTGATCCTCCCGCCTCAGCCTCCCAGAGTGCTAGGATTACAGGCATGAGCCACCGCGCCTGGCCGAATAACACATGTGATTCTATTTTGTTTAGAAATCCATTATTTTCCAAGAAGATACAGCTTTATTATATAATAGCAAATAATTGAAAGTTATATTCTGTTAATAGAAATTCACTTTTAAAGCAAATTATTCTAGATTAGATTTAGCTCTAAAAATGGAAACACAATGCGTATATAATCAAGATTATTAAACTAGATTTCTGAAAAGTTTATTACCAGTGGAGAAGATGGTTTATGGGGTTTAATTAAAAGTAGTTGAATAGTATGCAAATGTTATTTATGTTCGGATTTGTTTCCTTAGAGCCAGTAGAAGAAAATCTAAAATCAAGATCTATTAGACCTTTTCTTTATCTTAAGGATACAGCTGAGGTAGGTTTAATTTGTATACTTGACAATTACTTAATACAAATTCAAATTAGCCCAAAAAATTTAAGTATGTTTCTACAAATCCCAAATTCAAGTGAATTTTAAGATGCAAAATGATGACTTTTAAAGAAATTTCATCTCTGATAGTATGTAAAACTTTATGTATGGGGACAGTAGAGAACACAATATATTCTTTGCTGGAGATATTTCAGTACAGTAGAAATTATTTATTGAACATGATAAGGACTACCAGTTATCATAAAATCAGTTAAGACAGGACATCATAAAAAACTATATATGCATAACAAACATTTTACTTTAATTTATAATATAAAGATTTATATGTGTTTGTTAATCTTTTAATGTGTAGCCAAGACCACTGTTTTGAGCATGCTATAGTTAATCAAATTATATAATTACAATAGCAACTACCATAAACAGGTTTAAAACTGACACTATTGACTGTGATAATCACTTGAGCAGAGGTTCATGGGCATGTTGAAAAGTAATTGACTATCCTTGGGCATTGCGGGTGTGTTGGACATCATTCTGTAGGTTTTATCCAGGGAACTAGAGAGTTAAATTAATCCAGAGACTCAGCAAGGGAAAGCCACTTAAGAGAGTCTATTAGGTATTAATTTATTTGTTAATCCAGATTATTGCTAATATAGAGAAAGAAATATGAAGAAATACATACTTAGGTCTATAATTAATAGCTGTAACAATTTTGTTGCATATTCCTGTATTTTATAATTTTAAAAAATATTAACAGAATTCACTGTCCAGATTACTAGTTTTATCCTCATCTAAATGGCTTATTTAGATTCATATTCAATAAAAGTCTCCCAAGAAATATACATGCTAACATCATAATCATTTTACTCCTCATAATAAATTTACTAGGATGTTATAAAAAACATGTAACATTTTAATTAAAAAATGAAAATATTCGTGTGATCTTAAAAATTAAAGAAAGGCTAATAAGAAGATAGAGCCCTTCCATCCTATGCTCACTTTTCTAATTTCCTCTTTTCAGAGGCAACCATGTTTAACCTTTTTGAGTTTCAATTCCTTTTATGATTAACTCCATCTTTCTAAAGAATGAGTTTCTATTGCCAATTTTAATTTATCAACTCTAAATACTAGTTACTGAATAACCAATAAAAAGATGGTGAATTAGCTTATTTACGCTACTCCACATCTTACCTCTTGCTCCTCTTTCCTCTTCTGGATCTTTGATAGTCCCTTCTTTTGTTTCTTCTATTGTTAACTTTTGTGACCTGAAACAATATGCCTAAATTTTCTTTTCTTTTCCAGCATCTTTGATCACTAACTCCTGATTCCCTTTTAAATAAGATGAAGATTTTTAGAAGTCCTATCCTTTCTTCCCACTCTGCACCACACCTTCTTTTCTAGGTCAACTATATTTACTTTTACATTTTGTAGGTCAATGATTATATTCAGCTTTGCAGCTCTGATTAAGCCTTTATGTTTTATTTATAGGCTAATCCTAAAACTCCACAATGCTATTAACATCATTTATATTATGATATTATAAATAATCATTATAGAACAAAGTAACGTGCTAGGATTATCTTTCTCTTTTTTTTTTTTTTTGAGACAGAGTCTCACTCTGTTGCCCTGGCTAGAGTGAGTGCCGTGGCGTCAGACTAGCTCACAGCAACCTCAAACTCCTGGGCTCAAGCGATCCTCCTGCCTCAGCCTCCCGAGTAGCTGGTACTACAGGCATGCACCACCATGCCCGGCTAATTTTTTCTATATATTTCTAGTTGTCCAATTAATTTCTTTCTAATTTTTTTTTAGTAGAGACGGGATCTCGCTCTTGCTCAGGCTGGTTTCGAACTCCTGAGCTCAAACAATCCGCCCGCCTCGGCCTCCCAAAGAGCTAGGATTACAGGCGTGAGCCACCGCGCCGGGCCTATCTTTCTCTTAAATGGGTGCAATACAACAATAGGCTCTCTTTTCTTATTCTCTATTAGTTACTCAAAAA